TGTGCGTGCATGCACGCACATGCATGTGCCTTCAAGTCAGTCCTGGCAACTGCTTGGACAAGTCTGCAGTTTTCCTGGCAACATTTTTTGGAATTGGTTTGGCGCTGGCTTCTTCCTAGAGCTGAGAGGAAGAGTGACCAGCCCAAAGTCACCCAGATGGCTTTATGCCTAAGGCAGGACAAGAATTCGAAGTCTCCTGGTTTTTAGCATAATGCCTTTAACCTTTATTCCAGATTGGCTCTCACAAACGTATTACAGTAACCTCTATTTTCTGCTATGTCCCCACAAAGTTGCCTTTACCTCATTTCCAAGCCATAAGTGACATTTAAGTTAACCTTAGCTATGTCAGCGTTTAGTAGCATTTCTCCTATCTATTGATACTGTGTAAGAACAGCCTCAAGGTACATAAATCTGTTAGGCTTTGCCACCTGTTAGCATGGAGGAAAGTCAGGTCACTGGCAGTGGCTGGGTGCAGAGGTGAAAAAGGCAGGATAGGGATTAGTCATGGGGACAGAAAATATCATACTAGTATCGTTTTCTGCAGCATACACTTTTAAAAAAAAAAGTACAGAGATTTATTCCCAGTTTTCCCAAGCGTATAACTTTTTTTGTATGGCTTTTCCAAAATATGTTTTGCTTGTACCACGCTGGAGAACCTTACTGCCATTTGTGCCACGGTAGGATCAATAACGGGAGACTGCATTTCGTTGCTGAACAGCAGGACATGCCAAAGGCTGCATTGCACCAAGTAGTGGTAGGATGGGGACAGAAACTAAATTGGAGTTCATTTCATTCACATTGTCACTTCATTAAAATTAAATGCAGGAAATATGACTACTATCCTGTCATATATTTAATAATCTCTTTTGACACATAATTATTTATTCATTTAGGTTATTTGTTAGATTTTTATCTTATCTTTGGAAAACAGCACTCCCCCCTTCATTTTTTCCTTGCATTAATGACACTGTGAGGTAAGTTGAGTTGACCCAAAGTCACTGAGTAAGCTTCCATGGCTGAGGACAGATTTGAACATGGGTCTCCCCAGTCCTTAACCACTATACCATACTGGTTGTCATATAAAATCTTGTCATGAAGATTAAGTTTCAATAATTCCCAGCAAGGTAGCTGCTTGGGTATGTGCAAACTGCAATCCAGAATCACATTGTCTACAAATGGTTTAGTACCAGGTTTAGAATTAGGTTTCCATGCATATGTGCTTTATTTCACTAATTGCGTATTTATTAAACAAAGTTATATAGCTGCCCATCTACCAGAGGAACTCTGGGTGGTAAACAGAGATAAAAACATGATCCAAATTTACAATTGCTTAAAGAAAAACTAAGGTGAGGCTCCTGAATGATCTCAGTACTACCAACACATGGACACGTACAGGTATGCCTAGGCCAGAGCTCATTAACAGCTCTGGTGCTGGGGGAAAAGCCAAGTCTTTACAGACTTCCAGAAGGCCAACGGGGTCAGGCTTGTCCATATCTCAGGGGAGAGGCTGTTCCACAAGACAGGTATCATGACAGAGAAGGCAAGTTTGGAACATCATCCCCGACGAGATTAGATTGGCCCTGTCCCTGCTGGCCTTCTGGAAGGCCTTAAAACTTGGTTTGGGCTGAGTCTGGAGCCCTGGGTGTGTGACAGAGCCCATCTCCTGGCTGTGTTGATTATGCCTAGCTGCTCTGTGTTTCATTTTTTATGTTTCTGGCTTTTATCTGTTTTAAACTGCCTAGAGTCAGGTACATGAGATGGGTGGCTATATAAATTGAAATCATCATCATCATCAACATCATCATCATCATGTCCTTGGGAAGGACTTGATAGGTGGATAAAAATGCCAAATCCAGTCTAAACATCTGGCTGACTGTAAGACCAACCATAATAATTAATAATAATACCCACCAAATGAGGCTGCTTTATTGACGGGACCTGGACCCTGGTGGCAAAAACTACCGGGGATAGGCGATCCCAGAAAAAGTGACAACCAGCAACTTGAATTACACAGAAGCCTGCTGGGAAGGTGCAGCTCACCTAAGAGCAAAGTCACTTGGTTGTGCTGTCCTGTGCTGTGCCCTATACTGCATGTCCCAGTGCATTCTAGACCAGCTGAAGCTCTGAATGCTCTTCAAGGGCAGCCCAATGTGTTGCAATGGTCCAAATGAGAGGTGACTAAGGCATGAGTGACGGTAAGCACAAACTGTAATTGTGTGAAGGCCCTCCCATCAAACAGTAGCACGAGTCCACAAGGACCCCAGAGAGCACATCAATTCTGTCTGGGGGTGTCTTACCCGATACAGAGTTAATGATGAAAATCATTAGATGCAGGGGGCCCTAAAACCCCCAGCCACTCAGTCTTGTCAGGGTTGAGCTGAAATGGTTCTTTCCCATCCAGACCTGCCCAGCCTCCAGGCCCTGGGAAAGCACATTGATCGTATCATTTGGCTGGCCCGGGGGAGAGATGGATAACAGTATCACCCACATACTGATGATATTTAGCCCTATGTCAATGGATGTCCTCACCCAGCAGTTTCATGTAAATGTTAAATAGATTGGGGGAGAGAATTGAGACATAGTGGAACCTACAAAGCAGAGCTCCCCCTACCAACACCAACAGGAACTGATCTTGGAGGAAGGAGGATAACTCCCTGCTCCCAACCCCCTCAGCTGGTCCAGAAGGATACCATGATCAATAATATTGAAAGGGCACTTTGGAGCTGCAAGCCTACCACTTTTTCAAGAACCTTCCTCAAAAAGGGCAAGTTGGAGACTGGATGAAAATGGTTTAGTACTGCTGGATCCAGGGATGACCTCTTGAGGAGGGGGCAGATCACTACCTCCTTTAATTATGTGGACCCATCCCCTCCCATCACCGTTGCACTGTGGACACAAGGTTCCAGTAAAGATTTGGTAAGAACATTTTGATCTCTCTTAGAATTTCACCCACAAGGCATTTGGAGGGTACATGTAATCCAGGGCCTCAAATTACTACCTATGTTCTAAAAGAAATGTTTGGCAAATTTCTTTTCCATCCTTTTTAAAAATGCCAGTAATGCTTATTTCTTTCCACTTTCTAATCTCCACCCAGTTCTTGCTCTATCTTTCTGCCCTTCACATCACTTCTCAGACAGTATCAGGCAGTTGATAAAGAGAGTTTTATAAGACGCACCATTATTTCTTCCAGATTCTGCCTATAGCAGGTTCTACACAACTTCTATGGGATTCAGCTAACCATCCTTTTGAAGAGCCACAGAGCACCAAGAAGTGATGTTACCAGAATAAGTGTAGCCATCATATTTTAGCCCATGGGTGGGGGGTTATGGATAGGAATAAGACACAAAGTGCAAACACTCCTTCCCTTAAACCCCCAAAACTAAAAACAAGCCTTGAAATGTGCTTCTTTGGGGGAAGAGTTTGCAGGCTTTAAAGGGTGAGAATGGGAGTGGGAAGACTTTGGAAAGCAAATTGCTAACATTCCTACTCCTATCCCCATTCTGAAACCCCAAATGTTCCAAAATTAATCTATCTGGGCAGTTTGGAGGGTGGGTTACGGGTAGAAAATTGTGGAAATTTAAGGGTGGGAGATTTTTCAAAGCAATCCATTTTTATTCCATTGAGGTTTGGACAGCGCCAGCTTTAATGCCAGCAATTAGGCCTTTGGCCAAGCTTACTGAACTTATGTCTTAGGTCACAATATAAACCTTTTTTGAGTTGAGGCCTGGAGATTAGTCCCCAAAGCTGAGAAAGCCAGGAGGAAGAAGTGAGCATGGCCAAGAGAAACATCACAATGAATTAGGTTAATCTAACTACTGTTAGATGCGGTGGCGCAACAGCTTAATGACGCTGAAAGTTGCCGGCAAGAAATGGTCGATACTTCAGCGGTTCGAGTCCAGCCTTTGCGTTAACAGGGTGAGCTCCTGTTTCCTCCCCAGTTCCCGTCACCCCA